TCAAAAAAAAATTATGTTTGTTTTTAAAAAATATTTTCAATTTCAAAAATTATTTTCTACTCTAGTAAAAATAAAAGATATTTCTCAAAAACATTTTTCATTCATAAATCAAACACTAAAAATCTTTTCCGAAAAATATTTTCTACTCACCAACCAAACATGAGAAAATAAGTCAAAAATCTACTTGTTTTCCATGGAAAACATTTTCCTTCATACCAAACACACCCTATGTCTTTTTCCCCCATTTAGAAAAAGGTGGAGATGGAAAAAGGTAAACCATTTGGACAAATCTCTTATCCTAATAATAACAAAGCTACTCAAGAGGAGATATCAAAACTGCAAGGCTCTTAGTCAACTCATACAAATGGCTTATGCTGCTCTTTCTTCATTTATGAACTCATTGGAACAACTCTTGAAACCTAATCAATCTTTGGTTTGTCGAAGCTGTACACAACAACATATCGAATCTCTCTATCAAAAACTTTCTGCTCTGCAAGTTTTCCTTGACAATACGACAAAGGATATTGAAACTGTTAAGGTATGTAATTCACTAGTAGAATTATCTAAATCTTACCGATCATATATTGTTTTAATAATAATTAATTTTTCTAAGTTTCAATTTCAAGGTTCTAGAAAAGAGGATCAGAAATATAGTATACAAAGCAGAAGATAGAGTTGATTCATGTCTAAGAAAGATCATTCTAGCAGATCGCGAGGACAAGCGGCAAAAGGCTTGTACATCTTTTTATCAAGAATTGTTAAAAGTGGAAGAACAAGTTTATTTTCTCAACAAAGAGGTGATGCAGATCGAGTTTAACAACCATGGAAGCAAATCTGCAGAATTAGCAAGAATTTCCTCCTCATTAGAAAAAAGTACAATTGAGGAAAATACTGTTGTTGGGATGGAGGATGACTTCAACACCATACTTGATCGCGTCACTGCCCAAACAGACGAGTTAACTGTCATACCAATTTTTGGTATGGGTGGTATAGGTAAGACAACTCTTGCCAGAAAAGCTTATGATGATTCATATATTCAGTCTCGATTTGATAAACATGCATGGGTCACTATCTCCCAAAAATACAATGAGAGACAAATGCTTCTTGAAGTTGCCTCTTCAATTACTACTGGAAGCAATAAATATATGAGTGACGATCAACTAATGGAGTTTGTGTATAGAGGTCTGAAGGGTAGGAGATTTCTAATTGTCATAGATGATATTTGGAGTACTGAGGCATGGGACCAAATGAAAAGAATATTTCCAAATGACAACAATAAAAGCCGAATTCTGTTAACCACACGGCTCAAGTGTGTTGCAGGTTATGCCAGCAGCCCAGATTTTCCGCCTCATAGTAAGTCCTTTCTAAGTGTTGATGATAGTTGGAATCTATTCAACGAAAAATTATTCAAACAAGATCATTGTCCTCCTCTACTAGAAGAAACAGGGAAGCATATTGTACAGCAATGTCGAGGATTACCTCTCTCGGTTGTTGTTGTTGCTGGACTTCTTGGAAAAATGGACCCAACGTATGATAATTGGAAGAACGTTGAGAAAAATCTGAACTCATTCTTTGGTACAGTATCCGAACAGTGCCAATCAATTCTTTCTTTGAGCTATAGTTACTTGCCCCAATATTTGAGGGCTTGTTTTCTCTACGTTGGAGGTTTTCCGGAAGATAAAGAGATTGATGTTTCTAAATTGATTGAGCTATGGATTGCTGAGCAATTTGTAAAGGCAAGAAGCAATAAAAGTTTAGAAGTGGTGGCGGAGGAGTATCTAGAAGAGTTAATTGATAGAAGTCTAATTTTGACCGGTAGACAAAGGGCTAATGAATGGAACAAAACTTGCAAAATTCACGATCTTCTTCGCCAATTATGTCTAAGAGAAGCGCATACTGAAAATGTTGTGCATATCATGAATTGGAATGTCACCATGTCCTCAGAAGCCATAAATGATCAACGGCGAGTGATCGTTTCTGAACATCAAGAGAGGCAAGTTTATTCTAGAAGGCATAGCAGTGGTATTACAAGTATAACCCGCACCTTTATTTCAATGCAATATTTTGGTTTAAATTTTCCAAAGGGAATTTGCTCCTTTGTTTCACAGCTCAAGTTGCTTAAGGTGTTGGATGTATCATCAATTCAATACGATTTCTCTTGTGTGATACCTCAGCTTGTACATTTGAGATATGTTGCTGCAAGAATTAAGGAAGCTATTTCACTTGCAAAATTGAGAAATCTACAGACCATAATTCTTGCAAATGTTGAAAGGACAGAGTTGAAGCATCCACTAGATATCTGGACAATGACAGAGATACGACATTTGGATATTGAATCGCCACTACATATATCTAATCCTTGTGTGTCAGAAAACAATAGTATTGGAGAACAGCCTTTATTTCTCAATAACATGCAAACACTTACTCTCCACTTCTCTCCTTTTGCTGCGGAAATCATAAGAAGAACTCCCAATCTGAAATATCTAAAGATTATAGATTATTGGCCTTCTATTCTTGATGGGCCTCCTGTTCTTGATTCTCTGATTCTTTTAGAGGAGCTGGAGATGCTAGACATAGAGCTGTCGACCATTGGCCCAGTTACTTTCCCTAGGGATATTTTCCCTTCTAATCTCAAGAAGTTGAGATTATCATATACTAGAATACCATGGGAAGCTATGAATTTGCTGGCTAATTTACCCAATCTTGAGGTGCTCAAATTGGATTATGCATTTGCCGGAACAGATTGGAAAGTAGATGAAGATGTTGTGTTTCATAAATTAAAGTATCTACAAATTGCGTCCGATTGTCTAGAAAGATGGGAAATTGGTAGTGATAATTTTCCAATGCTTGAGCAACTATTGTTGTATGGAATGAATAAACTGGAAGAGATTCCGGAGAGTATTGGAGAGATAATGACACTAAATTTGATCCAATTAGACCATTGCAGCTCTGGTGTGGTGATTAGTGCAAAGAAAATTCAACAAGAGCAACAAAGCTTAGGAAATTATGAGCTTCAAGTTCAAATTAAAAGGTATGTCCTATTCTTAATTAATATGTTTGTGTGGTTATTTTTATTTTCACCTGTTAAAAAAAGGCTTGTAAACTTGGACCTATAAAAAATATCAAATGATTTAGATATTGACATTGTGATGGTTGAATTCAATAATTTCAGTCTTAACTCTGTATTCGGCTTTAAAAATCTGTTTAATATATATAAATTGTTGATTTAGAACACATAAACTGATTCCACATTGTAAGTGTGAGCCATTGTGGAATGAAGTGCTAATATAGAATTCTTTCATATGGTTTTAATGCAGTAATTACGGCGTTGTTAAAGGCATTCCAGTTCTAGTGGAAAAATATGCTGGTGTTTACATTGAATAAACTAATCTTTTTTTCTTGTTCTTCGTAATCAGATTTGTATTCGGATCTCATAAATATTACAAAGAATTCTGCAGGATATATGTTGTATTCGATGAAAGTCATATGTTCGGTGGTTTGGAGGGTGATCATTCATATTTTTATGAGATGATCACCTTACAATATAGGGTTAGAAAGCCAAAATAAGTGATTTTAGCCCTTATAAAAAGAAAACTAATTCTTGAACCTTTTTCAAGCTCATGAGTCATGTCGTAGGAATTTGCACAATATTGAAAAGGTTTTAAAATCTGTTATCTTGCAATTATTTCACGTAATTGGAGAAAAGTGATGATAAGAAAAGACAAAAAGGATTTTGAAAACAATCAAAATGTTGCCTAATGTTTTTTTAAAAAAAATTATTATCAGTACTTCAAAAAGTATATAAAATTTGACACAACTTGAAGAAGATTGAAGATTACTGTTCATAAAGTGTAGGGGTGTACATGGATTGGATTGGTTCGAATTTTTTTTTAACCTACCAAATCAAATTATTTATGTCAGGTTTTTAAATCTATAAATCAAACAAACCTAATAAAATTTGGAGTTTTCAACCTCGGATTTTTTCTGGGTTTCTTGAGTCTCAGATTTTTTCGATAAAGTATTCATACTAACTTATAATTAACTTGTGTTTCAAATATTTCTTTAGTCTTACCAAAATATAATTATCTAAGGTGTTTCTTAAGAAAATAACACAAAATATGACATGAGTGATCACACTAAAATATTCAACAAAAATAACAATGAAATCACATAAAACCAATATTGCAAATAAATAAGTCAAAATACAAATGATCATAATTTTAAAGTACTTTCATGTCAAAATAAGTCTAAAATTAGGTTATATATTTTAATTATCTAAACTAATATATAACTAAAGAACAAATATTCAACATTATTGTCATTCTTATTATTGATTGATTTTTATTTGAGCTTTGTTAGAGTTACTAAAATATATGGAATATAACTTTTATTGGACTATTCAAAATTATAAGTCAAACTTGAAATAATATGTTGAAAGATAAAAATTATGAAAAAGTATAAGAAATATTAATAAATTATATCAACGTAAATACTTTTATGTATAAAATATATTTTTAAAATTATATATATGATGTCGAATTGGTTTGGTCTTGGATTGACTTTTTAAATGTTCGGATTTTTTTCTCGATTTGAGATTTGGTGTGATTTCCGATTCGATTTTGTTCACCCTAATAAAGTGTATAAAATAAAATGACGAAAATAATAATATTTCAAAGTGAAACTTTAAGAGAAGAAAAAAATCTTTTACTTGTTCTCGTTAAAAAAAAAAACTTTGTTGTCTTAAAAATGAGTTTTTGTCGATCTCACAACAAAATATGACAGTCAATCAATATTTCTAAAAGATAAATCTTTATGTGATAAAATATTAAAATTAGATTCAGAGAATATGCTATTAAAAAAACAAGAATAAAGAGAATCATTATTCATGATCAAAAGCCGGAGTAGAAAAGCATAAGGAGATCAATTATTGCTTATGGTTGGTCTAAGGTCAGAGTATAAACGCATAATTATGATCACAATGTGGTGGGACCACATAATTAACTTTATCTGAGATGTAAAATTTGTTGGCAAATGAAAAAGATTTGGAGAGTCATTACCAAGTCTCTCTAAACAATGAAGATAATTGTTGGCAAACAATCCAATTGTCTCCTCTTGGTTTCTTTCATCTTCCCTATGAGCTTTCATCTTTTTTTCTCACTTAATGACTCGAGTCTATAATCTTAAAGTTAGACTGAGAGTACAAAATATAGAGAGAAATAACCTCATCCAGTTCAGTCTGAGGTTCACACAAGTGATAACATATCACTTGTGTGCCACAAATTTTCTCCTCTAACAAAAACACTCAAAGCCACTAGGACTACATTGTAAATGTTACTATATTAGAAGGAACGAGTCTTTATTTATAAAGTCCTAAACCTTTTTCCTACAAGAAAAAGACTAGTCAAATATATAGACTTTATGTTTTCCTTCAGGAAAAAAAAAACCTATTTATAGTAAGAAACTCAGGGAAATAATACCCAACATTTTATCCTTTTCTTCCGATCATCTATTTGTGCTTTTATTTAGCTTAAGTTTGGTTGGGAAAAAATGTGTTTCAGATGGAATTTAGGCCTGGATAAAAGCTGGTTTCTCATTTTAAGCAAGACTATGGGGCAGGCTAATCTTCAACCTTTGTGTTTTTTATTGTACAAAATTCCAGACAGTGATATTAACTTAAGTAACTCAAACGTCTTGACCTTTTATGATTATATAAATTTCAAAGAAAATTTGTACCGAAAATTTATTATAATATTTGTCCAACTTGACACATCATGTCTTCATTATTCAATGTAAATTATTCAATTTTATAAGAGGGTCAAGCTGGAATCCAATGTATAGGAAAACTACAAGAGTGTCTTTATTTTTCATTAGAAATTTATTACTATACTAGATATAGGACCCCGTGCCAGCACGGGGCCCAATATATATATATTTTTTAATTTTAATTTATGTCATATTATGAAATTTGAGAAGTTATTGAAATTTTTATATGATTTTAAAAATATTTTAAATTTTTAGCTATTGTGATTTGTAGTACTTTTTTTAACATAATTTTGAAAATAATATTTATTAATCTATTTGTTCTAATTTATGTGGCAGATGCATAATTTCAAATATTAACCCTTTTTTA